TGGAAACAAGATAAAAAATCATGTGGAATAAAGGAAATAATATTTTTCCAATAAAAATAAGTGCAAAGAAAGAAAATTTATTTTCTCAAAAAATCCAATCTAATTTGGGTAAAAAAAATTCCAACATCACTAACATCTGATCACGCAAAGTAATAATTTTGTTATGGTGTAAAGATTGGTAGGAAAAAAAAGAATTTAGCTTATTGGAGGCATTCCAAATGTTTTTAAGAATTTTCATCAAAGAAAAAATATTTTAAGAATGAAACTAATTTTTACTTTTGAGATATGAGGAAGAGAAACTAATAAGGAATTTAGAATGGAGTGGAAGGTTAAAGAGTGAAGGCATTGAGGTTGTTATATTAGAATTTTTTTAGTAATATTATTTGAAATAGCTCATTATCGTAGTGTCCTACGTGGTATACATGTAGTAGTTAATGATTTGATACATTAAAGTGCTAGTTTTTTATTGCCTCATACATCAAATCATTAACCGCCACATGTTTGCTAGGTCGGAAGTGAGCAACTTCAAATAACATTATTCTTTTTTTGCCCCAACCTTTGTGTTTAAGGAATGGAGATGAATGGGCTCCTGGAAAAGAAAAAATGGGAAAATTTCGTATCTAAGTGATTAAGTTTGACCAATTTCAAAACTAAGAAATAAAGTTTAAAACTTCAAAAATCAGAATTAAATATATTAAAATCATAATTCTATACAATTTGATTACAATTTATCAAATTAATTGGTTAGATATTAATTATCGGTCACAAATAAAAAAAAATTATAAGTTATAAATTATTTTACGGTCTCAAATTAAAATTTTTATAGATCATAATTTATTCATCGATCACAAATAAAAAAAATTATAGGCCAAAAATCACAAATTTTATAACTCACAACTCAAATTTTTAGGCCACATATTATTTATTCGTTTCAAGTTATCGGTCACAAACACTATTAACCCTACCACCTACCCACTCAATCCCAATCCAACATGGCACCAACTGAAAGGAATTCCATCGCCACCACTAAATCCAACGAAATTGCTCCGTCGTCGTTGCCAACACCACGACGTCGCCACCAACACCAACCAGCCACAACAACAATAGCACCACCGCCCTCCACGTCACCAACACCAATACCAACACAAAAAAACATCCAAACCTTGTTTAGGTGCACTCCTGGAACCACTCCGTCTTCGTCGCCATCACCACAGTGCCATCACCATCACCAACACCAACACCAACCAGCCACCACAACCACAACACCACTGCCCTTCCACGCCACCAACACCAACACAAAAACAAATGTCCAAACCTTATTTAAGCGCATCACGTGGAACTACTCAGTCTCCGTCACCATCATCGTGACACCACCACCAACACTAACTAGCCACCATTAGATCGGCGCCACTAGATCTAACAAAACCACTACGTCGCCGTTGCTACCACTACAGCATTGCCACCAACACCAACCACCACCATACTACAACATTACCGTTACCAACACAAAAACAATAGCCACACCTAATTTCTAGTATACTTGAGAATGCACAGCGCATGGAATCGTTGCTTCAAAAACAATGTCTATAGGCTGGGCGAAGCTATCGCAAATGGCAATGCAAAGCTGCTGTCAACGGTAGCATGAAAATTGAGAAAGAGAGTACCACCAGAAGAGAGAAGGTAGAGAAAGGATGATAACTTGTCGCTATTATAAAAACCAGGAAAGGGAGCCACCAATAGAGAGAAGGTAGAGAGAGAGAGATGACAGAAAATAATGGGAAAGATTTAGGGGTTGTTCTCTTTGTGTTTCAGTTTTGTGTTTTGAGTTTTAAATTCATTTTGAATTTTATGTTTTGAGTGTCCATTTTGAGATAATTGAAAATGTATTCTTTTTAATATTTTGAAAAATTGTTTTCAAAAATTAGAAAATGGAAAACGTGTTCTCTTTCCCTCCTTTCTTTACTGGCGTCTCTTTCTCTTGTGCCCTCTCTTCTTCCCCTTATTCTTCATTGGCGGTGGTTGGTTTGGGTGTTGTGGTTGGATGCGGTGGTGGCTATGGCAGTGGGGTTCTTTCTGGTGGCGATTCAGCGGTAGTTGGGTCTTGGCTGTGGCGATTTTGGTTGTGGCGGTAGGGGTCTTTTTGGTGGTGATTTTGGTTGTGGCGGTGGGGGTCTTTTTTTTCTGGTGGTGATTTTGGTTGTGGTGGTGCAGCGGCGGTCGGGGTGGTGTAGTGGCGGTCGGGTGTGGTGATGGTTTGCGGTGGTTGAAAACAAAGAAAATGCGTTTTGGAAATTTTGGCCAAGTTATAACTGAAAACGCCAAAAATGAAAAATTTGTCGTTTTGAGACTTCTTTGTAAATTTTAAATTTGTTTTCAATAACCCATTTTTGAAAGTAAGAAAGAGAACGCGTTTTCACTGTTTTGAAAAATCGAAAATAGAAAACGGTTTGAAAACGACAAAGAGAACATGCCATTGGGGTTTTAAAATTGGGGTGGGGGTGGGGTGTATATAAATTATTTTTTAGTTTTATAACAATAATGCAACATAATTATCAATATTTAAAATTTTGATTCTCATTTGATTTTTGAAAAAAAAAAAAAAA